CATGCATTCCCCCCAGTTCTGCATGCTCTTGCTTTACTCTCTTCATAAATGCAGAAAAGCTGTGAATTTTGGTGCAGTCCAATTTAACTAGTTTTTGGTTGCTCATGTTGTTGGTGTTGTTTTAAAGATCTGCCAAATCCAAGGTCGAAAAGATTTTCCCTTGTTAAGTGTGTTCTTGTTAAGTGTGTCATGGTTTTAGCTTTTATATGTAGGTTGTTGCTCTATTTTTCAGTTACTTTTTATATATGATGCGAGACAGGAGCCTGACTTCATTCTTTTTCATATGGATATCCAGGTGTCTCAGTACCATTAAGTTTTAAAAATGATTTTATTTATTTTTTTGAGGTAGAGTTACAGACAGTGAGAGGGAGAGACAGAGGGAAAGGTCTTTCGTCCACTGGTTCACTCCCCAATTGGCCGCAACGGCCGGAGCTGTGCCTATCCGAAGCCAGGAGCCAGGCGTTCCTTCTGGGTCTCCCATGCAGAAGTGGGGGCCCAAGCACCTGGGCCATCTTCTACTGCTATCCCAGGCCATAGCAGAGAGCTGGATCGGAAGTGGAGCAGCTGGGACTCGAACCAGTGTCCATATGGGATGCTGGCACTGTAGGCAGAGGATTAACCTACTGCGCCACAGCACTGGCCCCAGTACCATTATTTTGAAGAGACTATCTTTATTCAATAAGTGGAAATAACATTCTTGCTAAAAGCTGACCATAGGTGTATGGAAGGCAGACACTCTTGACTGTGAAAACTGTGAGAATCATTTAATCTGGAACTTTTTTTTTCAACCTATAAAATGAGGATGACAACTTTTTTTCACAAAGCTGTTGGCAGGATCAAATGAGATCGCCTGGAGAGTGTCAGCCATGGTACCGGGTTTCCCGGTGAACGTTACCTCTTCCTCTGACGCAAGGAACAGGGGCAGTGTAACATCCGCCACCTCTGTTCCTTCGTCCTCCCATCTCTAGGACAAGGAGATCTCAGGTACAGAGATGTGCATTTTTGCCTCATCCATCTGCTGGGTGCACGCTTACACTCCTGGACAAAGATGGTGAGGAGAGAGGTCTCCATAGTGTAGTGAAGAACTTAGCTGGAAATGCAGGTAAGCAAATGAAGACGTGGTCAATCTTTAATAATTCAATCAACACTCAGCAAACATTTACCAACGCTGACTTTGTGCCAGAGTCTCTTCCAGCTCTGGGAGATACAAAGGCAAAGGGCTGGCAGTGCCTTCACAGAGCTCTGTCCAGAGGTGGACTGAGGTGGTTAAACAGGCGTTTCAGACCAGCAAAGTAATCCGGAGATAGAATGAAGAGGAGAGGGCTGTGAGAGTGTGCAGGAAGAGGGTTCAGGGGAGGCTTCCAGAAAACGTAACACTCGAGCTGGGTGTTAAATGATTCCGAGGGGCCGGCACCGCAGCTCACTAGGCTAATCCTCCGCCTAGCGGCGCCGGCACACCAGGTTCTAGTCCCGGTCGGGGCGCCAGATTCTGTCCCGGTTGCCCCTCTTCCAGGCCAGCTCTCTGCTGTGGCCCGGGAAGGCAGTGGAGGATGGCCCAAGTACTTGGGCCCTGTACCCCATGGAAGACCAGGATAAGTACCTGGCTCCTGCCATTGGATCAGTGCGGTGCGCTGGCCACAGCGCGCCGGCCGCGCGGCCATTGGAGGTTGAACCAACGGCAAAGGAAGACCTTTCTCTCTGTCTCTCTCTCTCATTGTCTACTCTGCCTGTCAAATAAATAAATAAATAAATGATTCCGAGGAAGGAGAATGCGGAGGGGAGAAGAGGGGGACAGGTTAGCAGAGGAAACAGCACATACGAAGCTGTGAATGCAGAGAGGCGTGTTCTGGGCTGCAGATGAAGACTACAGAGGAGGGCTGAGGGTAGGATGAGACAATGGTTCCACTTTATCTAGACGGCCACTGGGAGCTGTTAAAGAGGGAAGTGCCATGGTCAGGTCTGAATTTTAGAGACTGACAGGGAGACTGGTGTGGAAAAAATGAGTAACTAGGAAGAGGAGGAGGATGGAGGCATGGAGGAGGCCTGAGAAGAAATGTGATGATGAACAGAAGGGGGCTGCTAACTGGATTTATGGCAGATCATATACTGGGGGCCAGTGCTCTGGCGCAGTAGGTTAATCCTCCACCTGCAGTGCCGGCATCCCATATGGGCGTGGGTTCTGGCCTTGGCTGCCCCTTTCTGATCCAGCTCTCTCCTATGGTCTGGAAGGCAGTGGAAGATGGCTCAAGCGATTGAGCCCCTGCACCCGCGTGGGAGACCCAGAGGAAGCTCCTGGCTCCTGGCTTCAGATCAGCTCAGCTCCGGCCATTGCAGACATCTGGGGAGTGAACCAGCAGATGGAAGGCCTTTCTCTCTGTCTCTCCCTCTCACTGTCTATAACTCTATCTCTCAAATAAATAAAATCTTTACAAAAAATCATATACTGGAGTGTGGGAGGTGAGGGGCCTAGGATGACTTGTAGATTTTTGAGCTGGGGGACTTGGCCAAGTGAGTAAATGGGACCATTCACTCAGGCAGGAACACAGGATTCAGGAGCAAAGTTAGAGAAGAAAAAAACAGGGTCTGCTTTTGCTGTTGGGTCCAGATGAAGCTATGCAGTAGACAGACTGTATGTGGGACCGCTGTGCAACAGAGTTGAAGTTGGAATGCGGGTTACTAAGAGAGCACACAGGATTGTCTGGTCTGATAAAAGGAGAAGCACTTTTGGTTTGGTTTTGTGTCGTTCTTAACAATTAAATTATTAATAACTTTTATTTCAAGACGAACAAATATAAAGAAAATTACAGCCCATAATCCCACTGCTCCAATAACTTTTACCCTGTTGAAAGGGAGAGAGGATAATATATATTGTCAGAAAATACAAACAGTTCAGAAAAGTGTAAACACTTAAGGGCCCTGTGTTCCCTTAACCACTGTTAACAGTTTTTGTGCTTCCTTCCAGGGACAAAATGCGTATGCCCACTGGATTCAGTTTATTCCCCCAAGAGTGCCTCCATCTGCAGCGTTTAGCAGGTCGACTGTATTGAGCAGAACAACCAACTGCTGAGCCAGGCTTCATAGACCTATTATCATGGTGGGGCAACCCCGCGAGCTGACCCAGGCAAAGCAGGGGCTGTGTGTGTCTAGGTCAGGGCTGGGGCTGGCCCAGGCAGGTGCTCAGGAAAGAATCACTGAATGAGTTGTGGTTGCATGTGGACATTTGCAGAGCCTTTGCTGCGCACCCACATGACTTAGTCGGCAACTGTTTTCAGGGTCTGCACCACACTCTCAGTGCTGTGTGTGTGTGTGTGTGTGTGTGTGTGTTGGGGGTGGTGGGGCAGGGATGTGCAGGCACCTAGCGGTGTGTTAGAGGCATTGGTGAGCTACTCTTGCTCTTTGCCTCTCCCCTACTGCCCAAAGAGTGGCACCAGTCTCCAGTCCAAACACGAGACCTTTGAGATGCCCGACATGGTTCCTGGCTTGTGTGTTAAGGGGATGGTCGGTTGACAGCCGGGGTGGTATAGCAGGAAGAGCCCTGGACGAGGAGCCAGGAAACCAGGTTCTGGTGCCAGCCCTGCATTGCCCCACTCCATGGCTGCAGGCCCAGCACATCCTCTCTCCTCTGAAAGCAAGCTTGGGTCTCCCAGAACGCCAAGGTGCTTCCTACCATTAATCCTCTCTAACTATAAGATACTGGGTTTAACAAGTTATAGAAAATAAAGTTTTATAATTTTTGTGCTTCTAAAATGCTGGTTTTTCCTGCAAGATTCCAGGGAGGCTGCTCAGGTCTCTTGTTTGTGTACAACCCCGTGCTAAGAATGGGCTCCATGTACATTTTTAAACCTGAAACCAAGGCCTAAGAGCCCAGACCCCACAACAAGAAGCCAGCAGGCCCCTTGCAGCTCAGCACACCAGCAAGCGGCGCACAGCGGGAGGCACACAGACATTCAGAGATGGTTCTTCCGGAGCCCTGGGACCCCATCCCCAGAGACAGGCGGAAACTGGCTTAGAGAGGGAAACCGAGCCGCCGCTTCCAGCCACGTACTGCTGTGCAGCCCACTTGCTCTGTGCCCAGTGCTCTCCCAACACGTCGGGCAGGCCCCCCTGAGAACCTGCAGTTCGTAGGGAGGGCCCAGAACGCAGGCTCACCGGGTACACGAGTGAGTTTCCCGCCCCAGGGCCGTAAAGGTCTCCCTGGAGCTTGATAAAAACCCAAGAGTTGGGCCCTACTCCCTAGACGGGGGCAACTGGAAACTTCTCTGTATTTCAGTTTAGGAGTCCGAGACCCGCTAGCTCCGGACTGCCGATGGAAGACACTTACCCCAAGAGCAAGAACGTAAGAGCCGGGCTGGGAGGCCCCGGGGCCAGGGCTAGCCTTCCCGCCGACTTGCTAGGGGGCCGGTGCGGCTCTCTGGGAGCGGGTTGCACCCGCCGGCACGCGCGTCCAGTGCCGCCCGGCCTGCTCGCTCCGCGTCGCCAGGATCGCCGCTCTGGTCTGACCGCGGAGAAACTTCGAGTCGGCACCAGGGGACTGGTTCAGCCCGGGCCGCCCGGAGAGGCGGGGGCCCAGTCGAGTTGAGCCCCGCGGTCAGGACGCCCGGCCAGCTCACCTCACCCGATGGTGTCTGGCTTTTCCCGCCCGCGACGCCTCCCTACGGTCCGGCCCGGTTCGGTGGCCCGAAGGTGGCGGGCAGCGCAGGGCTCTTGCCGGCCGCCGCCTGTCAAATCCTCCGCTCGGCCCCGCGCCGGCCCCGCCCAGGCCCCCTGGCGAGGAGGCCCCGCCCTCGCGCCGCGATTGGCTTCGGCGGGGCGGCCGCTGCAAGCCAGTGGCCAGAGACGCTGTCGGGCAGCCTTGGGCCCGCCTTTGCCGCCCGGGGTGCTGCCCGCGGTACTCGGCGGCGGCGGGGGTTGCGGCGCCAGTGGAGGCGCGCGGAGCCGTGCGCCCCGCGAGTTGAAGAGGCCGCGGCGAGGTGAGAAGGGGCGCGGCCCACGTCTGGGAGGGGGGCGGTGCGCCGCGGCCGAGACGCGGGGCTGGCGTCCGAGCGACGCTCGCGTCGGGTTTGGACGGCGCGGGAAGCGCTGAGGAGCAAGGGGAGTTTAGGGGCCCCCTGGCCCCCAGCTCCCGCCCCCTCAGGGGTGATGAAAGCGAGCGCCGACGCTGAGGCGCGCTGGTGCCCAGCGCACGAGACGGCGCGGGGCAGAGCGTCCGAGCGGGTGAGTGGCGTGGCGCGTCCCGCCGAGCATCGGCGCGGCGTGTGCTGTGCGTGGGAGCGGGCTTTTGCGCCTCCCGGGCCTCATGCGAGTTGCGCGCGCCGGCGGGCTCCTTTGCTCAGATGCGCTGGGCATGTGTCTCGGGGTGCGCGTGCTGCGTTCGCGTCCGGGAGTGAGCACTCCTCCTCGGGGTCCCGTTTTCCGGGCTCGCGGAGTCGCGGGTGAATCTCGCCCGGGGTCCCCGTGTACTCGGTCCGCGGCCTCTGGAGGCGCGCAGCCGCTGACCCCTGCGGAGCCACCTCCGCGGCGTCGCCGGAGCCTTGCTCGGGGACTCCTCCTTGCCGCCAGCTCCTTGTCCCTCCGGACGACGCTGGACAAGCGCGCTCCACGCCGCAGGCCTCAGTTTCGCCATTCGTCCAAAGAGGGCTGGATTTGCGCGGGAGAGCGTAGCGGCTCCGCGGGGATGCGCGGTAGCGGCGGGTGACAGGGTCCCCAGCGCGCCTGGGAAGGCAGCGAAAACCGCTTCTGCGACGACCAAGGGACTTGTCCCTGGGGTCAGGTGGGTTCGAGCTGCGGTCGAGGTAGGCTTGGTGGCGTTAGCCTAGTCCAGAGGCGAGGAGTAACCGAGGGCGGTGACCTCCCCGGCCCGGCGCGGGACGGAGAGTCCGCTTCCCGCGTTCTGACGCGCCTGTTGCTGTCTCCCCTCCCCAGGAGCCCCGCGCGACCCTCGGCGGCGCTGCCCGCTCCCGCGCCATGCATTGCGAGGTGGCCGAGGCACTCTCGGACAAGAGGCCCAAGGAGGCCCCCGGTGCGCCCGGCCGCGGGCCCGCCGGCCTCGGCGCGCACATGGCCTTCAGGGTCCCCGCGAGCGGCGGCGGCAGCAGCGGCGGCTGCGGCGATGGGGGCCCGCGGGACCTGATGCCCCGGCCGCCTGCGCCACCGCCGCGTGCCCACGACCTCCTCCGGGCGCGGAGCCCCAGAGACTACGGCCCGTCCAAGGCCGCCGCCGCCGGGAAGGGTGAGTCCAGCCCCGCCGATGCGCCTGGCCGCGGGCGTGGGGGAGCTTCGTTCGCTGTGTTCCATTTCTCTCTGGTTGTTTGGGACTCGCCTGCCGGTCCGAAACTATGCCTGCGCTAGGAAGCATCTAATTTAAACTCAATAAGCCTGTTCTGGGGGAAGTGTGCGTATGGAAAGCTCGGATTACACAGTTTGGCTTCTGTATGTTTTTGATGAAAGTTGTGTCAAAATTTTATTACATATTCCAGTGAGTAACAACTCCTGTGTCAGATGGCTCCTCCTGAGCGGCTGAGGGCCTGCTTTGAAGGAGTCCAGTCTCCTTAAATAACCAAAACCAGAGGCTCTTTAGCAAGCACCCTCCCCTCTGGGGACCTGTTTCCCATTCTGTCAAGGGAGGAGTTAATTATACCCACGGTTTCGGGACTCCTGTTGGAACATTTTCCGAATCTACCTTGACCCAGCCCTGACTTGGAAGCGGCTTTTCAGCTCCGGGTGCTGCGGAATCACAGGCGCTGGCTGGAAGTGGTGTTGTGGAACCTTCTTCTCCTCTCCAGTGAGGCTGGGGCTCCGGCTCGGGCTCGGGCTCGGGCTCGGGCTTGGTAAGCCTCAGGCCCCAGCACGGCCAGCGGGCTCAAAGTCAGCCTTGCTGCTGGGGTTCTCGTGAGCAAGTGCTCATCCCATTGCAGTTAATAATTATTGAACCATCATTTATAAGTTTCACGCTGACAGATAATTAACCAGAAATTGGAGAAATTGTTAAGGTGCTACGCTTCCCCCTCCTCCTGTTTTTCCTTTGGGAGAAAGCAAGGCTGTGGGGGTTGATTCAGTCCACCTTTGGGACCTTTTGGTTCTTCTCCAGCCGGTTCTCAAGGAAAAGCAACAGCTTTTGTTTTATGGTTACAGTTATCATCCCCCTAGCATCTGCCCAGCCACTTTGGAAGGTAGGAGGGCTTGCTCTTAGAAAGACAGCACCTCGTGGGTTAGCAGCTCCCAACTCCCCCATTCCAGGGTTGGTGAAATGCAGTAAACACTGACTGTTTCATGTTTTTAAGAAAACACCTGCCTTTGTACCACAGAGTTATTTCTTGTTTCCTTGTTTTAAATGTCAGCCCCTTCTCCAAGAGATAGAGATCTTTTTAAGAAGGATAGATAGGGCAGACTCCTGCAGAATGCTGCTGCCGGAATACAGGCGGGAGAGGAGCTGCAGCCGGCCGGGCTGGGCTGGGCGTGAGGCCTGCATGCTGCCCGCTCTGCACGCGCTCTCAACCAGACCCCTGCCACGCTCCGGCTGCGAGAGAACCACGGCTGCCGTCTGGAGACGAGGTCTCTGCGGACCCCTGCTCCACGCTGTGCCCAGAGACCTTTCCTCTGCGTGCTCTGTGGACCCTCTTCCACTTCCGTTCCCCCAAGTCCCGGTTATTTTTAGCCACACCTCCCCCCAGCCCACGTCCAGGATAGATCTTCAAGTCAGGCTTGCTTTTGGAGAGGAGAGGAGAAAAAAGCGGTTACAGAAAGAGCTGCTTTTTCTGTACCCTAGCTGGTCTCTCTGGTTAAGCTTTTGCCAGGAGACATCAAAACAGTTTTCTTCAGGGTCTCCAGGTGAGGCTGGGGAGGAGGTGGGAGGGAAAAGTGAGGGGTGGGGAAGCCGAGGCCGGAGAGTGGGGGAGTGTGGGGTATGTCACAGGTCACTTAGCCGGTCATGGGTGGTGCAGGCCAGAGTTCTGGCGTAACCTGGCTTGGGGAGGAAAAGGTGACTTAGGGACCTGGCTTGGAGACGTCTCTGACCCTGCCTTGAAGTCACTGCAGCGGGCTCCTCGAGGTCAACCACCACGCACACGGAGACGAAACCAGCTTTTCCCAGCAGCCCTCTGAAAAATGCTCAAAGGAAATGGCACCTTCTTGCTGCTCCCGCCCCCACCAAAGTGTTCCCCAAACTATGCAGCCCTTTGAATGTTTGGTGTCTAACTCCACGCTTATTGGAAACAGGCAAACAGAAATACCAATTGAAAAATATTTATTGACTGTTCTGGACATGCTAAGACCCTACCCCGATGATCTGTAGGACCTTGGGGGAAGTTATTTCATTCCTCTGAGCCCTTGTTCCCTCATTTGCCAATTTATCATGAGCCGTGAGAGCATCAGTGAAAAATAAGAGGATAGAAGTGTGCCCTCAGTGCCTGGATAGTCTTAGATGATGCTTGTGAGTGTCTAACACTGTCAACCTCTGGTTTTGCATTTGCACAACAGGTATGGCAGGTGACTAGAATGGGGGTTGTCAGAATGCTTTATAAACTAAAAAGATGGAAGGGGTCACTTTTATTAATTTGTGGAAGGCGCCATGCCAGGGTCAGTGATGCCTGAGGTGAGGAGGTGGAGGAGGGAGAAAGGTTTGATTGTTGTGGTGTTGAAGGTGAAGGGCTCCGTCACTGGTGCACTAGCCAGGGCACACTGAGAGGTGTGGCGCTTCAGGTCTCTGTGACCAGGGAGAGGTCCGGAGTGCTGCCTGATCTGGAGTCAGGTTGCAGGTGATCTGCCTCTGCCTTCTGCCGCAGACAGACCCTGTGCCGAGGAAGCGAGTGAGTTCTCGGCTCCAGCGGCTTACCTGTTAATGTTTGGGTCCTGTGTGTTTCCAGATCTAGAGTCGGGAGGCACCGGGGACGAGCATCGTCATCATTTACAATAAGAATCACGATCTGTTTATGGCAGGGGCCCATTTATCCAGATTCCAAACAGCTGGAAAGGCCGAATTGCCAGATGCTGCAGTTTTTTTCCTTATTATTAAACACCCGACACTCTGCTTTTATAAGTCCTGACAAGGAAAGAAGGTAAACATCTGGGCTTGGTGTGGGCTGACAGCCTTGCGGCGATGGCCCCGCGACGCCTGCTCTCTGCGCACAGGGCTTTACGGTATGCAGAGTGTGTGACCGCACACGTCCGCCTCCTCAGCTGCCCCTCGTGGGCTCCTCTGAGGGGACACGCGGAGAAGTGCTCTGCCTTCCCTGAGGAGCTGGGCAGAAACTGCCGTGATGAATGTGGCTCCCGTGATACAGATGAAGACGTTGAGAGTTGGGGATTTGCTCACAGCCATGGAGAGTAAGTGGCAGTTTCCAAGGCTCCAGCTCCAAATATTTGATTCTGGTTCCACAACTTGTACCTTGGCTGAGAGCTGGTATTCACAAAGAAGACCTTCTGAATGTTCCCAGAGAATTTAAAAATATTTTTGCTGTTGGTATTTTTCCTGTCTTGAACCTGTGGAAATTGGTAAGTAGTATCTTTGCTGGAGTTTGAAATCTCTGCAGTTTACCCAGTGATTTCTGTTCATCCAGAACTGCTGTTCCCAGACCACACCAGATAATGAGGTCACTATTGAAATCAGAGAGGCTCACTGGACCCTTTTTACCACTTTTCCTGGCAAAAAAGGTTGATCATCAGGACAAATAGGAACTCTGCCATTCATAAAATCAGTGGCTATGACGTGACTGTAAATGCCAAAGAGTAAACTTGTAACTGTGAAGAAAGCTGGTCCTTAAAAAAAAAGAGAGAGAGAGAGAGAAAAGAAAGAAAGCAATTGTAGACTGTGTGCATGGGTGTCTGGCCGGTGTGGAGGGTGAGGTGTGATGGCCTGGTGGTGTTGCCTGGTCCTTCTTCGCCTCAGTCAGAAGCCACTGTGATGTTCTGGAGAAGGCCTCTGCGAGCCCAGCGCATCTGTAATAGAAAGGTATGAGTTATTTTTAAAGCATTTCCCCCCTCCGGCTCTGGTGGGCAATTTGCTTGCATTTCATCCATTTTAAAGTGCTGGTCCTGTGATCCGGAAATAATCAGATCCAAATTTTTTTGGTGCTTGAGGTTTCAAATAGGGGGGAGAAAAACCTGCAGGCCAAATGCCGGGCTCGGTGAGACAAAGAGAGACACAAGTATGTGTGTGGGGATCCAGACGAGACAGGAACATGCTGCGTCTACACTCGCGAGAGTTATGGATCCAACACTTCTTTTATAGACATGTAGCGGAAATATAATTCCCAAAGATTCCCTAAGAATCTTGTGCGGCTAGAATTTCTCTTCCCTTCCTGCCTCCCAAGCCCTCTGGAAGCTGCTGAGGCTTGGCGGGCAGAATGGAAAGGGGACATCACACGAGATCGTCACCTAATTTGGAGCTCCCTGTTTCTCAGTCTTGTACCTGTACCGGGCAGAGTCTCTTAGCCGTGGAACAGTATTGATGGGCTGTGTTGCTTCATCTGTGACTTTAAAAATGCAGATTTCTTTATATGTCGTGGTTTTCTCACACTTTCCTTCTGGATGAAATAGAATCTACTCCATCTCGAGTTATTCATCTCCCTGCGTCTCATTTGCGTGAGAAGCTAAGGGGGCCAGCACACTTATTTTTATAGTGCATTAAAATCCCATTACAGGCGTAAGTGCACAATGAATCATTTAAAAAATATATTCTTTGTTCTGAATGTTGCATAATTATCATCATTTTCCTCGGTTTTATTTCGTCAAGTTTGGCCAGCATCCTAGAAGAGGGGAAAAACCAAAGTTTGGAGGAGGGGTTTAAAAAAAAACAAACAACAAACAAATAAACAGACTTTATTTGGAAGCTGACCAGCAACTGTGGCTAGCTGTGACTTTTGGATAAAGAGGATAATTTCCCTTCCATCTCTCCATGTTCTTGGAAGAGAATTCCCGTTTTGAAGCCGATACTGCCGTATGTCAACAACCTCACCTTATGTCTGTGATTTTCAAAGTTAAATAATAGTGACTCTTTTTTTTTTTCCTAATATAGATTTGAGTTACAATTAGTTTGGACCTGGAGAGTTGTGTTGTTTCTTTTAGTAGGGTGTGTTTAAGAAACAAAGACATTCAGTGCAAGGGGAGAAGAAATGAAACAAACTCAGCAGTGGGCTTTGGAAAATCCTCCTGCACTGTGCACAGCGCACAGCTGTGATCCAGGGCAGGGGAGAAGACGGCCTCCTGTCCTGAAATAGTTGTGCTGGTCGCCTA